ACTTGTGATTACTACTGTCACAAACCCAATGACACTCTGGACAAGTGTTGAAATCTTCACTGTAAGCCGACATACAAACCTTTAGCCAAATACTCTGCTGTCAATGGAATCACTGCAACGGCCGAACAAGACACGACTCGACCGACTCCTACCCGGAACATGTCAAATTTCTCTGTCCCTAAAACACTAGAGGGAGCAATTGATCAAGTTTCTTGGAGCCAGTCAAATCTCTGTGGGTCTATTGACCTCCAATGTTCGATATGGTACTCTTCCTATGACTCTCATAGTTTATTCCTCCTTTAGTCCATTGATTATTGAATTTGTTGCCACAGATCACATGACTAGCTGCTCGCAAACGTTCTCGACTTAATACTCGTGCTCTAGAAAAAAAATTCCTTCAGAATTGCCGATGGATCCTATTGCTCTATTGCTGGTAAATTGTTGATTGTACTAACGACCAATCTAACTCTAGAATCTATTTTACATGTTTTCCGATTGCAATGTAACTTGTTATTGGTCAACAAGTTGACAAGTGATATCGTTTGTGTGGTTAATTTCTCTTATGATCATTGTGTTTTTTAGAATCTTCGTTCAGGGAGGATGATTGGAAATGCTAATAAGATAGCTGAGTTCTACTATTTTCAAGAGGACAACATAGAGAATGAAGAGACCGCTTAAAAGTCGTTACATATCTCGACTTATTAAATGTTCCATTATGTTATTACATTATCTTTTGGTTCATTCTAGTTTTTAATATTTGAAAAATTTGTATCCTCTAACATTTTCTAATAAAAATCTCTCCAATTTCAATTGTGAGACATGTCAGTTCGTCAAACATTACCGAGTTCATTACCCACCTCACACTTACACACCTTTCGCTTCTTTCTCTCATTCATAATGACATATGAGGACCTTCTTGCACTTTCAACTACAATAAACGGTGGTTCTCGACCTTAATTAATGACCACACTGGAGACTTGGGTCTACATGTTAAAAGACAAATCAAAAGTCACTGTGATCTTTCAAAACTTCTATACCATTGTTTTAATTCAATTCAAAATTTTTATTCAGGTTCTTCGGATCGACAATATTCGTGAGTTTTTTAACTCTATTTTGAGTGAATTCTTGGTAAATAAAAGTATCCTCCACCATAGTTGCTGCACGAACACTAAACAAAATGGGGTAGCCGAGAGAAAAAATCACCTCATTGACGTTGCTCGCTTCATTATGTTTCAATTCAATTTCCCGAAACATTTTTTGAATGATACCATTTTAACCACCATTTATCTCATAATTAGAGTCCCCTCCAAAATTCACAAGTTTCCCTCTAGCTGTCTTGATGTCATGCTTTCCTGTCAATCGGGTCTTCTCCACTTTAGATTACAAAATTTTTGGATGCACTGCCTTTATTCGGAACACTGCCCCTACTCGGAGCAAACTTGATCTTAAATTGGAGTAAACTTGATCTTAGATCCATAAAATGTATCTTCCTTAGTTACTCCGCAACTCAAAAGGGGTATCGATGCCTTGATCCGACCACAAGAAAAATCTATGTGAGTATTGATGTCTCATTTTTTGAAAATTTAAGGAGCTTAAGTTCCCTAACAGTCCCATATCCTACTCTTATGGATAATCCCCCCATTGTTCTTACCACTAAGGAGTACCCTGTCTCGTTGAGTGCACCATCTCCTCACACTGTCCGTGCCTACACTCGGCGCACCCGCTCTAATGCTACAACTTAGGAGCCTGCTACCTCTTTACAGGACATTGACTCTACTCCAGGTGACATTGTCAGCACAACCCCTCCTTTGAATGAGGAGGTGAGTTTCCAAGTAAGGTATGCAATTCGACATGCTTCATCTATTCTATGACAAAATGTGTCTTTCCACAGTTTATCGCCGACCTACAAAGCATTTGCTATTGCCCTGATGGACCATAAGATCCCTGCTACTATTGAGGTTGCTCTTGATGATCCAGCCTGGAAAACGACAATAATGGAGGAGATGAATGTTCTTCAGTGGAATCATACATGGGACGTCGCAGACCTTTCTCGGGGTAAGAAAACTGTAGGGTGCCGATGAATTTTTAGCACCAAATTCAACTCTGACGGGTCCTTTAAATGCAACAAGGCAAGATTGGTCGCCAAAGGATACTCATGGAGTTAATTATGAGGAAACTTTTGCTACAGTAGCTAAGTTAAACATTGTTCGGGTCCTGTTGTCACTTGAAGTGAATATGGATAGACCTTTATTCCAATTATATGTCAAGAATGCATTCTTGAATGGTGAGCTGGTAGAAGAGGGGTTCATGTCTCTCCCTCCGGGTTTTTATTCAACTGTCTCTAGAGGACAAGTGTGCAGACTACGAACGTCTCTTTATGGGCTAAAGCAGTCCTAAAGAGATTAGTTTGACAGGTTCACAAAGGTGGTTGGAGGCCATGGTTTTACTCAAGCTTAATCGGAACATACCTTCTTCTTCTGGCACTCCTCCAATAGTCAGGTAGCTAACTTTATTGTCTATATTGACGATATTGCTCCTACAGGTAACGATGTTCATCCATTGGAATCTTTAAAAGACATTCTTGCTTTGACATTCGAGATGAAGCATTTGAGATCTCTCCGACACTTCTTAGGCATGGAAGTGGCTCGGTTCTCTCGGGGAATTTGTCTGTCTCAGCGTAAATATGTAATTGACTTCATGATAGAGAACCCCCTTCTACTGTGCAAACATGTTGTTGTTCTTATGTATCCTAATAAAAAATATCTGACATTCCCAACGTTTTACCTGTCAACAAAAGTAACTACCAACGCATTGTGGGAAAACTAACCTACCTGGCTCATACTTGCCCTGACTCATGTCACGCAGTTGAAATAATGAGTCAATTCATGCAGGTCCCCTACGGACACGGCCTCCAAGTTGTACACTGAATTCTCCACTATTTAAAGGTACACAGGGTTCAAGTTTGTTTTTTTTCCCGCCACAGTTCTCGGTCTATTATTGATTATACAGATGCTGATTGGGTCAGATCAATTCATGATCAACATCCGCCTTGGGGTAGTGTTGAAGCTGAATTCTGATCCATGTCCTTATGAATTTGTGAAGCTCTCTGGCTACGCATCATGCTCCTTGAACTCCGTATGCCAAGCTCTGTCCCGCTACGACTATTTTGTGATAATAAGACTACAATCAACATTGCTTACAAACCAGTCCATCATGATTGTACTAAACATGTGGTGATCGACTAACTCTTCATCAAGAAAGAAATTGAGACTCGGGAGATTTGCGTTCCGTCCTCTAGTGGTGAACTAGCGGGCATCATCACAAGAATTTGCCTCGCTATTTCGATGACTTCGAGTCCAAGTTGAACATGACTGACATCTATGCTTCAACTTGAGGGGGAATATTAGATTATAATGGTTATACTTACGTTATTATTACTTATTATTTGATTTTATTCCCTAATTATATATTTTTTCTTTTGTTTTATTCTGTTTTAATTTCTTCCATAGTTATTTTATTCTGTTTTTATTACTTTTCATTAATATACCTATTGTAATTAGGTTTAAATGCCCCCCCTCCCCTCCTATTAATGAAATTATGCTGGTCTATTTCAAATCTCAAGAGAGCCATTTAACCAATTTTTGTTATTCTCCATTGTTTTAATCAAAGAAGTTCATTAATCACATCATTTTGGAAAGCAAGGTTAACAACAATTTTGTCTGGTAGCTAATTGCTTTGTTTTTTTTCTTTTGGCTGGATGAGCACTTGAAACAAGCTCATTGGGATTCTTCATTTTGTTTCTAATCAATGCGTTGTGCATTCGAGCACAAAATTACCTTCACATTACATCATGATAAAGGACATCGCTATAAAAAAATTACACTGCAATAAAACATTAAATAGCATTGCCTATGGATATCTTAATATCATAACTCCTACCAATTCTAAAGTCACCGTGTCTTTGCCTATCCTTGGTTACAGTAGCTAGCTCCTCCTTGACGGCTGAAAACCGCAGCCTATGTTTTCTAAGCATCACTTTCTTTAGTTGTTGTCCACTCACTGAATACTTATCTATTGTTGAGAAGCATACCATGAAATAGTGATGCCCATCTTCCATGAAGTTGGATTCACCTTCCTTTTATAGAGAGAGACAGATAGTGTGAAAGGGAGGGAGTTTAACTAGTTTTATACAGGGATTATTCAATATCAAAACTTGAATTTGGTGTGTAGAGCTAAACTCCACCATCATAAGAGTTCAGTCCGAAAAGAAAAGTAATTTGCCATCTGCCAATGAAGGGATGGCGGTTGAATGCATTTTTTTTCAGTGTTAGTGTGTGGAAATTTGTATAAAAATTACAACCGGGTACCAAAGTTTCTGCCTGAAGTCAGGACTAAGCGAATTCTTCTTTTGATTGTCAGTACATTTAAATATACGGATGTCCATGACATGAGCTTGATCTGATGAAAAATTATAGGGTGATTCTGTATTAACTATTGAAGGATTAAAATTCAGAATCTTAATGTTCTTGTTCCCATTATGGCATATTACGCTGTTTCACGACATTTAGCAGACACTAAAGGTGTTTTATGTATATTAGGCCACTATTAGCTCTAAATTGACGATATTTATGCTTGTAAAGCATTTACAATCATTTGATTTCAATAGCATTATGGCACATTATTTCATTATTTATAGCAGTTACCCACCATCCGTGAAACTCGATAGATTATCAGGTGTTGGGTAATGGTAGGCCATTTTAAATTGCCCGCACTGTTTTGCAGGATGCGCAGTTAATATTAGGAAAAATCATAATCTGTTTTTGTAAAAATTGCAATCATCTGCATTAGATGGCTATTTTTAGCCTGAAATTCTCTTTATGATGCAATGTAATCATCTGCATTAGATGTCTATTTTTAGCCCGAAATTCTTTTTATGATGCAATTTACGTGCTATATTACTCCTTCTTCTTAAAGACGCCTCTCTTGTACTTTCATTGCAGCGAATGGACTCTTCCAGCAAGATTGAAATAGTTGATCCATTTATAGAGCAGAAGTGAAGATTTTGAGTCTGACAAACAAGATATGTATATAAATCACATCTATCTTTACTTTGGAGAAAGTTCGCCAGTGACTTAAGGGTGATTTGTTTTTTGCCACATGAGGTACACTGCTGTTCCTGAGTGCTCTAATGCTTTTGGTTAATTATCATGTCTTCCTTCAAGTAGTGCAAGATAATTTTTGATGAAATTACATGTTTGAAATCTTTCCCATGAATGGAAATTTATAATATTTTCTTAAGCCTATTATTGTGTTAACAACCAGTTGTAACAAAGCCCTGTAGGTAGTTGGCTGTTAAAGTACCTTCTCAATGCTGGATAGAAGACTTAAATTAAAAAAGTAGGCATGATATTGTACTGCAGTGCTCCGGTGTTTAAATGAATGCGGATACAATAATTTCAAGGAATTATTATTATTTTTTAAGAAAAAATTACATTCATACCACACATTTCTTATGCATTTACGTTCCTAACACCCGAAGTTTGATATTTACATTTAAAACACCTTGGTGCCATAAAATTATGCATGAAATATGTATCACTTTTAAAAAGTGATTGTGGTAAATTTTGTGTTTACATATATCAATATGTTGTAAATGATCAGTTTTTAAATAAAGAATTTCCTTCCGCTTCTAATTTTATATTGAGACGTGCTGTTTGAGATACTAGTATCTGTTATTGAAAAAATTATTTCATACGGACAGCGCATGTATCCGATTTCAACCGTCGATCACAGCAAAACTGTATTTCGGTGTGCCCCATTTTTTTTAGGAAAAAAAAAATAACAAAAAAGTTGTGATTGACGGCCGAGATCGTACTGTCCGTATGAAATAATTTCTCCTCTCATTGATAGTGGTTTATGAACATAGGTTTATGAAATTTATATAACTTAGTTTAAAGCCTTAGATGTGTTAGAAAACTTGTGTTTGCGGTGTTGATTGTTGATAGAAACATTATTATTCTTTAATTTGTAGGTAGTTTTTATTTATATTTTTGATAATAATTAATATGCCCATGGTGTTTGTCCAGTCATCATAATTAATTAATTAATTAATTAATTTTTTAATTAGTTTTTATTAGTGCGGTCTGGTGGAATCGAAGAGTTTATGCTAGACTAGGTTTAGTAAATTTTTTGGTCGCAATCGCATTCAAAATCTTGCATTATTCGACATCTACCCGCACGTGCTGCGACCAAAACTTTTAATTATTTAACAGCCGACGGCGTCTCAATTTTATCCAGAAGGGCTTAGATTTCAAATCCTTTTTTTATTTCTTAAATAATCAACAAGAAATTATAAAATATATTAAATTAATTTGTGACAAATAATCTTCTCGACAAATATTTAACAAATACTTTCTTCAGCATGTCATTGAATTTTAGAAATTAGGGCCGCAAAATAAGTTCATTATTTGCAAACATATTTAGCTCATCTGACCCATCAATAAACAAGTCATCAAACTTGAAATGCACAAAATTACTGGATATGGCCATGACAACTCAATAAAACTATAGTTTAATAGGATCTAAATTCAAAATATTAAATTTGAATTTATCTTTTGAACTTGTACCAATAATATTATTATCTTATTTTGAGGTAGAACAATAAATCAACAACAATGTTTCTTCGATAAATATCCCTGACTTTAAGAGTACTTCCTTAGGTGATTTATCGCATTCAGTGGATTGATTCAAGCATTTGATGATCTGTTGAACCAAATTTATGGTGGTGATCACTTATAAACTCCACCCCGACTGGGGCTGTCAAAAAAGCTCGTTGTTCACGAACAATTTGTGTTCGACTCGTCAGGGAGCTCGTGTTTAATTTGTTCAATAAACAAACGAGTCTAGCACAAGATTTTTCTTTTTTTTTTCGTTCGGTTTATAAATGAACAAAACACGGACTGTCACATGTTCAAATTGTTACTATTAGAAATATAAAATAATTTAAAATAATTATATATATAAAATTATCATTTTTAAAAAATAGTTCTATACTCTAAAAATTCATCATATTCTAAAAAAAATATTACCACAACTGACCTCCCATTCCTTTCTCTAAAGCTTTAGGTTTCGAACGCCTCTCCTTCTTCTGATTCTTCTCCTTCTTCTCTCAAAATCGCGAAAAGCTTTCGGCCACGAGAGCTTAGAGTTTGTGGTTTGTGTTTGTTCTCTAATCTCTACTTCTATTTATCTTCGATAAATTTTTTGTCCTCGGCGAGTCGCCAACTCGGTGTTGGATTGACTGCTCGGTATTCATACTTGGTTGGATGTAAGGCTATCTAGGTGTCATCTTTGAGTATATTTTCTCTAATATTTCATATTTATCTTCAGGCTCGCCTCTCAGCTTAAATTTTCTTATATTTATTTTAGATTTATTTAGTTTTTTTTAGTGAAACCTAGTTTTTCAAGTTTTTGGTTGTGAAATCTCGCATATTGCATCTATATCTGCATTTTTTATGAATGAGATCTAACATTATGATTTTGTTGTGAGCTATTTTTTTTTAATTTACATGTTCATTAAAGCTATGATAAAATAAAATTAGGAGGAATGAAGAACGAGTGTTGGAACTTGAAACTTGACAGATATGTCGAGTGTGTTTTTTTATTTGTAATATATTTTTAAATTATTGATTTATTACTTAATTGTTTTACAATAATGATTTATAGTTTTTTTTAAGAATTTGAGTTTGGAACTTTAAATGTATATTTCATTTGTAACTTGTGTTTAACAATTTATAATAATATAGTTGAAGAAATAATATTTTATTTTAATAGAAGGACATTATTATTATTATTATTTTTATATTTGAGAGATTTTTTTTAACAAAGAGCACATACTCTAATTTTATTTCTTAAAAAAAAAAACGGGAAAGAGCCCCCACACACACTACAATCCCAAAAGAAAAAAGAAAAAGGGTCATCTTTTCAAAAAAGGAAAAAAATACAACTCAACACACTCACCAAACACACCCTAGACTAGACATCCAACAATACTAAACGATTAAGATCATCAGGTAAACCGTCGATCACAACAAAAC